CCGCCACTGCTGCCATGGTCAATTAACTAAACCACAGAAGAAGAGAATAGACTTTAGCATTCAGGTTGTCAGTGTGGATTAGTATAAATCAGCCTCACGTGACGTCTGCAGTCTCAACTCATCTCTCACATATTAATCTCAGCACAGATGTAAAAGATGGAGAATTGACCTGAGAGTCTCCAGTCTGCAGTCTGGACTCTCCAGAAGATCACTCAGCAGCTTCACTCCTGAATCCTGCAGATTGTTCTGACTCAGGTTCAGATCTCTCAGGTGGGAGGGGTTGGACTTCAGAGCTGAGGCCAGAGAAGCACAGCTGATCTCTGACAACCTGCAGAGACTCAGACTGAATAAAGAAAAAAACATGACTTTGAAAAAGATATTTTTATAATCCATCAGATGTGTTCAGGGTTGAAATGTGAATCTCAACATTACTTTGACCTTATCAATGAGCTTTACCCTGTTCTTGAGGATCATCATAATATCAATCTTCTATATATTATTTGTGAAAATACATTAAGATGAAAGGGAACCAAATAAAGATCAGCAAGGGTGACTGTGGCGCAGGGGATCCTAACCTATATAACTAGAGAATGCAATTCCTGAAGAAGTTTCTGTGTGAATGCTATATGCTAAGCTGCAATTCCCACAGGAGCAATTTGGGGTGAAGTGTATTTTCCAAGGATTGGGCCAGACTCACCTGATCTAAGGATCAGTGCACAAACCCACAGAGCTAAGCCGCCCCAGGGCTACAGAAAGATGAAGACTTATATACCAATATTAAATTAATTATGGATAATATCTCTGGAGTTATGAGTGTCAGGAATAATAGCACAAATGTCCTAATGGACATGAATGTTTTGAAGTTCAAACAGCGTTTCTGTGAAATAAAATGTGGTGGCAGTCACACCAAATAATCCAAGCTCCAACTCTCTATCATCAGACCTTTGACAACCTCATTTATATCCCACAGCTCCTCAGTATCATCTTCAGTGAATCATGGAAAAGATTTTCTCTTTTTGCTTTTTGTTCAGCTATTTGAAAAAGCAGAACAAATGTGAAAAAAGGAAATTCTTAAAATCATAAATAAAAAATAAACGGCTGCAGTCAGTGAACTAACCTCAGCGTCTCCAGTCTACAGTTTGAACTCTTTAGTCCAGAACACAGCTGTCCCACTCCTGAGTCCTTCACAGTGTTGTAACTCATGTCCAGCTCTCTCAGATGGGAGGGGTTAGACTCCAGAGCTGAAGCCATGACTTCACAGTGAGTCTCTGAGACTACACAGCCAGAAAAACTGTCATGAAAAAAATATTAAGAAATGTGAATTGAAAAACTAAACTTCTACACCTATTTACAAAGTTAATCACATCTGTACTTACACAGCCTTTCTGCAGTTCCTCACAGCTGGAAACAGTCTCAGTCGTCCCTCCAATGATGTTCTGTATTTATTCAGGTCCAACTCATCCAGAACCTCCTCTGACATCTGCAGCATGTCGGCCAGGGCTGAGCAGTGGATATCAGAGAGTTCCTCCTCTGATCTGTTCTCTGACTTCAGGAACTCTGTGATCTCCTGATGTACTGAGTGGTCCTTCATCTCTGTCAGACAGTGGAAGATGTTGATGCTCCTGTCAGGAGAGATTTTATGACTGCTCATCTTCTTCAGGTTGTTGATGGCTCTCTGGGTGATTTCTGGACTGTTGTCTGTGTGACCCAGCAGGCTCCAGAGTCTCTGGTTGGACTCCAGAGAAAGGCCGTGGAGAAAGCGTACAAACAGGTCCAGGTGGCCATTTTTACTTTCGAGTGATTTCTTCATGGCTCCCTCCAGGAAGACATCCAGGGATGGGTACTCCTGATCAATACTATCAATGTTCTTATAGTCCCATTGTTCCTGG